TGTGTTTGCGTATGTATGTATATGTGAAACAAGTTTTTGTGTATGAGTGAGTGAGTATATATGTATACCAGGTGTTTGAGTCTATATACATGTAACAAGTGTGTAGATATTTGTATGTCTGTGTGTGTGTGCGTGTGTGTGTGCGTGTGTGTGTGTGCGTGTGTGCGTATAACAGTACAACCAGCGTAAATGGAGTTATTGATAGAATTTCGTATCTTATTGAACGCAAGTACCTGCAGCTACACGATCTTCACAAAAGGTTTGAACCTGTCTGACCTCTTGGCTGGGTTAGATAAACATCCAATGATTTTGATCGCATATAGAAAAAGGAACTCATACATTTGAAACTGGAAAGGAAGATGCGAAAAATCACGTTTACAAAACTGCATTCGCTCATATATATATATATATATATATATATATATATATATATATATATATATATATATAAGGAGTGATAGTAATGGTGAGGAGAAGGAGATGGGCGCCTGCTCACTGGGGTGGCAGATTACCTCGTTAAACTCTTCGACAACAAGCTTTTCCATTTTAAGTCGAGTGGCATCGTGCTGCTTTGACTGCATTAGCGAGAATGCTTCCGTCTAGGATGGCGTCGGGACTGAGGATTGGTTGGGAAGGTCTTTTTCCCTTCCGACAGACTGACCCTGATTAGTTGAAGGTGCACAGGGTAACTTATACGTATCGATCAATAAGTATTGAACGTGGGATTGGGTCTTAATTGGCGTATATTTCTCATGGTATCTACGTTGGCTAATAATTATAGTCCATCTGAAGTTCTCCGAAGGATGGGAAGAGGAGTGTGAGAAGGAGAAGGTATAAAAAGACGGGGAGGAAGAGGAGGTTAAAGGGAAATATATATATATATAATCGATTTAAGGAAGGAAAGAAGGAAGGAAGGAAGGAAAAGATATAAGAGAAATCCTCAAAATATAACTATGTTCATGGAAAATTGGTCAGACAAAAGACGAATGATACAGCGATAGATGAAGAAGAAAGTTAAAGAAAATAAAAGACATAAAGATGAACTAAAACAAAAGATATTAAGAATGAGAAAAATGAAAAAGAACTGAAGAGAAAAATGAAAAAAGAACTGAAGAGAAAAATGAAAATAGGCAAAAATTCTTAAAATATATCAGTGTAGAAATATATTCATATATCCATATATATATATATATATATATATATATATATATATATATATATATATATGTATATGTATATGTATATGTATATTCATTATGAAATGGACAAAGTCCGACAATTATTTTTAAGTTATTTTATAGTTTATACATTCTTTTTTAGATAGAAATATTTAAGTAAATGTTTGTTTATAATAAACAGTATTAAACAACATTTACCAGCCTGAATGTCCGAGAAATTTTCGCAGAAAATTGTTTAATACTGTTTATTATAAATAGAGCATTTACTTAAATATTTGTATCTATAAAAGAATGTATAAACATAAAATGTCTTTAATATATATATATATATATATATATATATATATATATATATATATATTTTTTTCAAATGTTATTACAGTGGATACTCGTATTTCAAATAAATGCTACGTTAAAAAAAAAGGGTGTATTATATTCATCGGCATGCGCGTTCAAGAAACCTTAATAAAGACAGGAATCGAACCTACAACCCGCTTTATAAGAGAAACAACTGTTTGACTAGGCGTGTATTACCGCTCGGCTACAGAGAGTGTCAGAGCCCAGCAGGCTTCTAATTTTCAATTAAGGAATTCACACCTTCTCATTCAGATATTTTTTCGCAAAATGCATTTAGCTGAACATTAATTATATTATATATATATATATATATATATATATATATATATATATATATATATATATATATATATATATATATCCCAGCTTGAGGCAATCGGATGTTCAGCCACACTGATGATGTGTGAAACAGTCTGTCTGTGGATGACAAATATATATATATTTTTCATGCTAGACGCAATCGATTGCGTCTAGTATGAAACAGCCTGTCGCCTCTTATATATATATATATATATATATATATATATATATATTGGAATATATATATATATATATATATATATATATATATATATATATATATATATATATATATACGTGGGTATACATAGCATATTTAGTTTTTTTATTTGTTTAAGATTTCTGTATCTCTCTCTCTCTCTCTATCTATCTATCTATCTATCTATCTATCTATCTATCTATAGTCATCATCTACAGACAGACTGTTTCGCTGTATCACAGCTTCACAGTGTGGCTAGACATTCGATCGCTTCAGGCCCGGACCGAAACCCGACTGATGACCTTTTACATCCATCGGATGCAAATCACTTATATATATATATATATATATATATATATATATATATATATATATATTTAATTCATCGCAAGTAAGGCGATAATGCCACCAAGACTCAAGGGGGCTACTGGGAATGAAAAGACTTTAGAAGAAACAAGATACCCAGTCCTAAACAGGAAACAAGAAACAAACTTCTGTTGCTGTTAAAAAAAAAAACGGGGAGAAGTGTGAACTGGACGATAGGCGAACCTATTTGTTCCAAATGAAGAAAAACGTAGTAAATAAAATTTCAAATAAAACATGGGAGGAAAGTGAACCGGGCGTTACTTGAACCTATCTCATCCTTACGAATATTCATCTCCGAGCGTACACGTGCTATAGAAATCGGCAACATATTCCACGACCCTTATTTCAGGTGTGACACTCCCTTTTTTTTTAATCGGGATCACTCCATGCGAGGCAGTAGAGCCACTAAGACAAAAAGGGATATAGGGTGTGGAAGAATTAGGAACAGAAACATTAATAATGAGGGGAAAGAGAAAATAATAATCAGGAGGACAGTGAATAGCGATTGACTTTGCATTTAAATTTTTGCAGATTAAAGTTGGCTGGGAAGCAAGAAGCCAGAAGGGAGTTCCACAAGCAAGAATTGCGAGAAAAGAAACTGTTAGCATAGAACTTACGGCTACATCTAGCCAGTGCAACTGTCAGTTGTCAGTCGACCCAGTACTTTCTGAGCGACTGTTCGGTTCAACTCTCTTCCTACGGGCGGAAGGAACCCGAAGGAGGCTACGCCGAAGGGCGGTGTCTCCTTCGGGGAGGTAAAACCGGCCCTGAACCCGTTTATACGGGTTCAAATGGGCTATTTTTGGCCGAGTCTAATGGCTCGGGAATGCCCACGTTAAAAAGGCCTTGTGCCACATGACACCCTCGTGGGGGTGGGGGTGACTGACTATCGTCAGTTGTCAATTAATGAAGTCTAGGTAGCATCTAGAAAACTACAAAACCTCCTAAAGAGGGTAGCGAAGGAGAGCGAGAAGAAGGGACTAAGCACAAACTACAAGGAGACATAATTCATGGTCATCAGTAAAAAGATGAACCCGAAATGCGATTTACAGGTTGGGGAAACTAAAATCAAACAGGTGCGGAAATTTAAATATCTGGGAAGTGTTCTGACAGAAGATGGTAAGTGCGACGCTGAGATCCGAAGACGTATTGGTATGACCAAAGACACATTCCAAAAGCTAGGCAGAGTATTACGAGACAGGAGGATTCCGTTGGTAACAAAGAAAAGACTACTGAACTGTTATATGATATCTGTCCTCTTTTACGGTAGCGAATGTTGGACGATCTCCTCAAATATGAAAAAGTGACTCGAGGCAGCAGAGGTGTTGTTCTACAGAAGGATGCTGAGGATACCTTGGACCGAACATGTGAGCAACAATGAAGTTTTCGAGAGGATGCAAACAAAAAGGAAGCTCATACTTAACATCAGGAAGAGGCAGCTAAAATTTCTGGGGAGCGTAATGAGAAAAGAGGGCTTAGAAAATCTGATACTCACTAGGCGGATAAGAAGAAAAGCGAGACAAGAGAAAGCAACGCGTGATATACTTAACGGGCTTAAGCAAGTTGATGGCGGAACAGGGTTTGGGAGAAATAACAAAAAGTTAAAACTTATTGAGAGCTTCAAAGGACAGGAGAAAATGGAGAGCCGTTATCGCCTACGTCCTGAAGTGATGCGGCACATAAAAGAAGAAGCTGCCATATCGAAGAGCCCATCCGGACAAATACCATAAAACTATTTATAGAAAAGACACAGAGAGGCAATCATACCACGGTTGGTTGATTTTATATGTCAAACCTTGCTGGCTTAATGTTTAATTTTTGTTTGAGTTTCATTGTTGGTCAAACCTACTATTAAATGTTCAAGCTTATTATTAGGTTGGTGCAAAATAATGACGTAATAATATCGTTTTTGACGTATTTTTTAACGTTAAAAACGACATTATTACGTCATTATTTTGCACCAACCTAATATATTCGCTAACTATAAGCCTAGTTCCGAAATGCCAGCTGTATTTTAGGTATTTTAAATGTGCTTGAATGTATGTCTATATATATACGTCCATGTGATAATAAGACATCTATAAAAAGAATACCCGCTCGGCCCGGTGGCTAGGATCAAAGTGTAGTATCTGTGCTTTGTGAGCTGCCGGGTCGGGTGTCTGTCGAACTCTCTGCTTGCAGTGAGGAACCCGGACGAAGCTCTGCCGAAGGGTAGGGTTTCATTGGGGAGGTTGATTTGAACTGGCCTGCCTCGGCGGGTTTGGATGGTTATTTATTTTTGGCTGGGCCTACGGGCTCAGAGATACCCACATTAAAAGGCCTTGTGCCACATTCGATCCCCGTGAGTGGATTGATAAATATATATATATATATATATATATATATATATATATATATATATATATATATTCATATTATGATGAATTTGAATACAGACATATATGAATTAAATTGGTAAAGATGAATTGAATTAATTAATAATAATAAATATTGATTAAATGAATAAACTAATTAATTATAGACATATGCGTATTTTTATGTTATGATGAATTCAGACGATAAATTTAAAATCAAAGACTTCCTCAGACCGGAAGACAGGAATGACATGCAATGTGATATGTGGGTATATCTGTGAATTAAATATACTTGTACTAACATTCATCTATCTATCTATCTATCTATCTATCTATCTATCTATCTATCTATCTCTTTTCGTCTTTCACTCTCTCTCCCTCTTTCTCTCTCTCTCTCTTTCTCTCTCTCTCTCTATATATATATATATATATACATATATATATATATGGCCAGTGCTAAACACCGACAACACGTGTGACTATAGCATAGCCAAGATACATACATGATCGATTGCGTCTAGCATGAAACAGACTGTCGCCTCTAAGTGTTGACGTCAATGTTCACTTTTATATTTACACATACTCTATCTCTGATATTGAGCACTTTATCCCACAAATATAGCACACCTTAAGAGTATATTTCTTCATATATATATATATATATATATATATATATATATGTGTGTGTGTGTGTGTATGTGTGTGTGCGTGCGTGTATATAAAGAAATATATATAATATCTTACATTAATGTGAGGTAACATTATGTATATTTTTTGAACACTTTTTTGAATTAATGCTCTCAACGTTAGAATTTACATTATTCTCGCTCATTAGAACTGTATATATATATATATATATATATATATATATATATATATATATATATATGTGTGTGTGTGTGTGTATGTGTTATTCTGGTATAGTGACACCAATCTCTTATAACAGAGTTAGTCTTATTGTAGCACTTATTTTAGTGGCTACACGTGTCTGATTTGCTATATCTGTTTTATATTTGTTTAAACAATGAAATTAATAACCAAAGGGCCAAATACGTGTACCCACTAAAAATAATGCTTATAGTAATGTTGGATCCCTTTATTACACACACACACACACACACACACACACACACATATATATATATATATATTTTATATATATATATATATATATATATATATATATATATATATATATATATATATATATATATCTTAACATACATACAAATATGTGTTCACAGGTTTATACAGAGAGTGATTCGTCTTCACACCTCTATTTCTACCATGAATATCTCTTGTATTTCTACGTTCTCTCAACTTCACATTTATCCAACAAGCTATCCAATCAATCACCGATGTGTCCCTCTCGAGTTTTTATTCTTGAAAATAGCATTTTAGTGTTAAATTTAGTTAGAATATACCGAGATTTCGCAATGACAAAAGTTCATCAAAGCGGAAACGGAACCGGAAGTATAAAATGAAAGGCATGCAGCGAAGAGGGAAGAAAGTAAGGAAAGAGAGGAGCAGACAACAGTGTTTATTCACGTAATTCTGCTATTGAAATAATCATTTGTTTAATTTTCTTTTTTAAATTGTAAAATTGTATTTTTTTCTTCGATTTTTTTTCCTTCGGAACTGAGTTTATGGGAAGAATGAATACCAATAATCCATACATCATACAGACAGACACCCATCCACATCAACCAAGACAATTAAAGATATGCAAGTCATTCACTCTTTCTTTCAACGCATCCATTTCCATGCTCTCTCTCTCTCTCTTACTACCTCACATACACACACGGTGTACATTTACGTATCCAAATCTTTAATCATGATAAAGACTCTCCATTTACATACATAAATATGTACTTGTCGAGGAAGACGATATATTTTTTTATTTTTTATTCACGTATGTTCTCCAGACAATTTTCTTAAAACCTACATACACACAAAGGCACACACAGAGGCATACACAGAGGCATACACAGAGGTATACGCACAAACGCACACACATAAATATATACACATGCAGACAGCGACAGACACACACAGACAATACACACACACGCACACAACACACTCATACACACACAATGAATATTCACAACTAAAAAATGTTTTTTTTAATTTAATTTTTCTTACATACATATATAAATCCCGCTTATTTTAATATAATTTTTAAATTTAAAAAAGTGCATAATATGTAACTACGCCAACGTTGGGATAACAAGAGATATTAAAATTCAAATTACGTAACGGTCAGTTCATACTCAGCACCTGAAGATTGCGTTGTGCATGAAACTCTGAGACGAGCTAGCAGTGAGGGTTAATATATATATATATATATATATATATATATGATACTATAAGGAATAAATTTATATATACTTTTACCTTTTTATAAGTTCAGCTATATTAATGGTGCCTTTAAAGAAAAAAGGCAGGATGTGTGTGTGTGTGTGTGTGCGTGTGTGCGTGTGTGCGTGTGTGTGTGTGTGTAACGAATGCACGATCGCAATTTTCGACGGATTTGCACCAAAATTAACATGCACATGCTCCAAGTTAGTGGGAATGCCCAGACCGACTTTGCATTTCCCAAATCCCATCGATAGTGGAAATAATCGATTTTGTCATGCTTCTTTGGCAGTTTTTATGTAGTTTGCAGCAATTTTGTACTGGCCAGAGTGAGAGCCAATAGCTGGCTGCCACGAATAGGCAGGACGATTCTATTGGCCAGCGTGAGAGCCAACAGCTGACTGACACGAATGTTAACTAGTATGTTAGCATGCAAAAGAAATCGATAGCTGCATTCGTCACAAATGGGAAAAAATTAAATCTGCATGGCACTTTACTCCAATTGGCTCATTCGCTTGCTTAAACTCAATGTTGATTCTGATTCCGCAGAACTGGGTTGGGTGTGAAAAAGTATTTGTTACTAACATTCTTTTTTCATTCGGTTTTTCCAGTTACGAGTCCTCTTTTTAAAAGCTGATCGTTTTGTGTTCATTTTGTTTAGTTCTTTTTTCGTAACAGATTTAATATTTAGTATAGAGCTTAGAAAAAAATCGCAGTGTGAGATAGGCAAGAAGTAAGGCATGTAGCAACATCAGCACGGAAAAGGGCACTCCTTTAAAGGCAAGGAAGGGCAAAAATATTTTAAGTCAAGGGATAGCGATTGCTGTATGAGTCGTAATGATTTTTGAATCAAACACGGCAACGCTGCCATAGTATATATATATATATAGACCTTGTTCTAAACACTTTACGTTCCTCGTCTATTGAGGGTCTGTGAGCCCCTTTTCTATTTTATATACTCTTGTGGAACTATTTATTTACATTCCCCCTCATTTGATTTTTAGTGTCCTTGTATTCATTTATATTAAATATTGCCAACGAATATGTTTGACAAAGCGTTGGCTGAAAGGTGCCTTAGATATGACGTCCACTTATATATATATATATATATATATATATATATATATATATATATATATATATATATATATATATATATATATATATATATATATATATATATATATATATATATATATATATATATATATATATATATATGTGTGTGTGTGTGTAAAATATATATATGCATTTTTATATTATTTACATTATTCGGACCATTTTCTCATCTTTGTCGCCATATTTATCACAACGTTTCGGCCGTTGTACGCTCCAGTCTTCTTCAGGTGGTTTAAATTTCGAACTTAACCCTTTATTTCGCTCACTGGGGGTAGACTGTTCTAGTTCCACGTGCCATGTTTGATGGATGTCAGTTATCAGTTATCTTCTGCTAATTTCCCTCTGAAAGTTCTCCACTGCCTTAGTTGGGTATTGAACTCACACTCTTTGGGTCCTGTCACTGGATCTAACCAACGCCTTTATCCACTGTGCCATGTATCCTTGAGGAAACGTTGTGATAGATATGGCGACAAAGATGAGGACAATAGTCCGAATAATGTAAATAATGTACATAATACCTCATCTCGGAAATATAGTCAGACAAAGCATTTTTATATATCAGAAATGCATGAAGTGGAAAAAGTTTTCGTGTGAAACGTTTCTTCCTTTACGCTGATGCAACTATATATACAAATGAAGGAGAGGAGCCACTGAGAATGGGAAAATTTAAAATTTGTTTTTTTCATAATTTCAATAAATATTTGGGGTATATATATATATATATTCTCACTGATTTCGTTTAGTTTCTTTTACTTTATGTTCACAAAAATGGGATGGATTCCTGAACATGAAAGCAAAACGGAACCAAAATTAAACCAGCAAGACTAAAAAAACAAACAAACATAAAGTATGAAAAAAAAAAAAAATTAAATTTTGATTTTAATTTTAAAATTTTCTACATCCCCTGTTATTCTTGCGCGTGTGGAGTCGCATCAATGCAAAGATTTTATAAAGAAAAAGTATCACAAGAAAATATTTTCCCTTTTTTTTTTTTCCAAATAATATTATATATATATATATATTTGAAATATAATATTGAAATATATATATATATATATATATATATATATATATATATGTATTTATTTATATATATATATATATATATATATATATATATGTTATATATATATATATATATATATATATATATATATATATATATATATTATAAATTAATTGATTAAAATATGTTTTTTTTTCTACTTCAGTTCTATTGCCATTTTTCTAAAATAGAGCTAAAAGTTATCGAATTTAATTTTGTAATTAAATTAAGGAATATTCGCTTGAGGATGAAATGGAACTAATGTCTTTTAATTTAATTACAAAGTTAAATTTTTTTTTTAATTTTGAAAACATATTAGAAGTGTGTTCAAAAAATATTTTAAAGTGAATTATTTTTTATAATATATATATATATATATATATATATATATATATATATATATATATATTTTTGATTTATATATATATATATATATATATATATATATATATATATATATATATATTTTGTGATGTCACCTTACACTCCTTTGACAGTTTCATGATGTCAACGAACACTCGTTGCCACTTTTGTGATGCCACCTTACACTCGATTGACACCTTTGTGATGCCAACGAATACTCGTTGTCATTTTCGTAATGCTTGTTATTATTGTTGTTGTATACTTGTAAAATCAATCTACCAAATATTAAAAAAAACAAAGCAAGTACAATTTATATAAAACTATTGATCGTAAATGCAGTGCCAGTTTTCATGAAAGAGATTATATTGAGAGAAAATGAATAATCTAAACAAATTAAATATATTCATTATTTGTTAATTAATGTATTAATGTCATTCGAATGCGGGGTGTATATGTGTGGGCGTGTCTATTAGAG